ATCTCTGCGCTGAAGGGGAAAAAAATTGTGTTGATGTAAGAAGTTTTTGTTTTGGTTTTATATATAAATTTTTATTTTATGAGGCGGAAGTCCTGAGTGCCTTTTGCCAGTAGATGTTTGGCTGAGGTTGGACCCAAATAAGTATTACCACATGTTTACAAGAGGTTAGAGCATGTGGCTTATATCCGATATGAAATGTGGCGGTTAGTACTCACTGGAACATTGCAGTAGTTTGGTGAAACATGTTTTAATTGGGTTTTGTGTTTAATTCATGAGAACTTGTCACATCACATAAGAGGGACACAGTAAAAGGCTCTGCTTTAAGTTGGTAATTGGTAGGGGAAATTGTACAGATCTCTTCATCAAAATAATATTTGTTCTCTTTAGATTTTGCAACAACTACATCTCCTGGATAGATTGCATTTCATTCTTTGTCTCCCACTTGCTGCATAGTTCAAGTTCCCAAACTATGACCCTATAATTTTAGGGGTTAAATACACAAAGTGCAAGGCATACGTGAAATTCTTTTCTGTAAGTTTAACAGATACTAAAGTAGGTGGGTACCAAGAACTGTGTGAGATGCAGTCCACTGTTTACGGCGGTTGTTATATGGGAATTCTATTCCATTAGGTAGTACAAAGCCACTATATAGCCAGGCCTTATCATTTTGTGTAATTGCGTCAGTGCCTCTAAAAGTCATGTTTAAAAAAGTAACAATTCAGTCATAATTTTTTCACATATTCCTTTTTATGAGTTAGAATATTGTAGCCGCATTGTAAACTAATTTTCAGTAATATAGCAAAAACATGTTTTGGCAAGTATCTTCGCATCCGGACAAGTACTTAACTTGGGAGGGCTCTGGGGTGGTGTGATGAGCTGGCTTAGAGTTTAGTTGTATTTAATGTTCTTGTTTGTCTAGTTTCCCAAATACACTACACTAGGTATGCTTCACTGCACCACTGACTTTTCAGTAGGATCCCAAGGTTGTAAACTCTACCCCTTTCTAACCTTTCAATAATTGTGCTTGTTCTTTAGCACCACACTTGCATTTCTTCCCTTAACACGAGATAGAATTGTATCCCTGCGATTTTGTCGCGGTATCAAACCACTTGCCCGGATGCTTTGTTATCCAGGTGTGAATCATATGCCAATCTGTTGTCTCAATCGGCAATCCAATACAGAGAATGACACCACCACTTGCTCTTTAGACATCCCAGGGGAGTAGTTTGGTCCCTCTTTTCGGGTCTGCAGGAAATGTGCACAATCCATACTCTTCCAGACTATTCAGGATATATACCAAAAATATTCCTTGCACTCACGCTTAATATCATCTTTATTGCCGGGTGCCATTTTTTATGAAATTCTAAATAAAGCAATAGTTTAATTTTAAACAAGTCCGAGGAGTGCAGTCATCGCTATTGAGAATATATATATATATATATATATATATATATATATATATATATATATATATATATATATATATATATAAAAATAAAAATGGTAGGTAACAGCACTCTAAGGACTTCAAAAAGTAAATGGTGAAAAAAACTTAGCTTTTATTCAGCAACTGCCACACACAATCGACGTTTCAGTTCTTAATACAGAACTTTCATCAGGATATATATATATTCTCTCTCTCTCTCTCTCTCTCCCCCTTAACCTATCTCTTACAGCAATTGTTGGGATGTTACATTCATTTCCTCAGATACACTACACAGACTGCTTATTATCTGCAACCTAAGTTGACTGGATGTTAAAGTTTTATTTTCATTTTCTACTTTTGTTTTGTTATACAAACTTTATTCCAAGTTGCAAAAATGAAAACACACTTTTATCATTTGAACTACCTGTATCACTGTTGTGCCATACCCATTCTGTCATTTCAGTTGAGTCCTTGTCATGGACCACATGTATAGTCTGACATCTTGTCAGAACTCTCTTGAGTGAAGGGGCTTATTTGATCTGATATACATGTATTCATTGATCCTCACTGTTAGACTGTCTGAGAGAATACCTAACCTTTGCCCCTCTGGTGGCGGGTAACAACTCATTCTCCAGTGGTTGTTCTCCCCCTACCATGAGACCCTCACACCCTCATTTCCCACGATCCCTTCCCCCCTTTTCTCTCTTCTTTGGTTTGTTTTCATATAATCAGAAATTGAAAATTAGTGTTTACCGGTTACTACTATATACTACCATCTTTGATAGTTTGATTTGTATCTTTGATGACATATCAATATGTCTTTGTACAACTTCTGCAAACATTCTCAATAAAAACGGTTTGATAAAAAAAGTTTTGAAATGGAAGAAAAAAAAAAATTCTTGGCAAACACAAAATGGATAAATATACACACGTGAAGTAAAACTCATGTCATCCATTCTGGAATAAAAAGATGACCCCCAAGATGATTTGCCGCAAATATGTATCTGTATGTATGTATGTATGTATGTATATATATATATATATATATATATATATATATATATATATATATATATATATATATATATATATATATATATATATATATATATATATATATATATAATATGCCAACATTTAAATGTGAGCTCTTTTCCTGACATGTGATGTTTCCCATGAGCACTTATTGGTTCATCATGTAAAGTGACAAAGCTAAAAGAAATAAATTATAGCTACATTAAACATCCAGCGCAACATCAAAGCTCACAGAATGTGTGTATGGATGTATGGCCGATGGGCACTGGCACAGCTGATTGGCTAAGAGCGGTCAGCTGGCGCTCTTTGCCAGTCAGTGACTCCCCATTCACAAAACTGGCTTGGAAATGGTATGTTTCTACATTATTATGCAATACATAGCTCTTCTCAGATTGAGTTTTTGTAAACCAACTAGAAAACGAGTGAAATCATTGCATATTTCTCTCTCTCTCCTTTTGTGTGTAACACTGGAAAGGGAATAGTTCACACCTGTGCTTGACGACCTCTACCATTGCTGGCCTTGTGGACTGCATCTCCTTTTGCTACTATGCCATCCGACTGTCAGAACATTTTGTGGGATGTAGTTCACAGCATCTGCAATGGTAGATATTGCCTAGCCCTGTTTTAGACTGACAAAGGGATCCTCTGTGCTCTACTACGCAGATTACTACAAGAATCATCCCACATCTCTCCAGAAAGCTGTATCCTGCATGTGTTCATGTCTAAAGGGAAGGGCTGGGAGCTCTTAGCCAACATTAACTTTGAGGTGTGTGGGCTGCACTTTTTTATTTTTTTTGACTATCATCATGTATAGACATGCAGCATATAAACCTTTACATGACACAAACACAACATTCATCATTATGTTATATAAAATAAGCTGATTATTATCATTACCCTTATAGCAATATATTTATATGGAGTGATTACGCAAAATATATAAAAATACTCATCCTGACTTTTTCAAAACCTTTATTTTATTATGTAGTGATGATGCATTTTAACATTGAGGGGTGAAAAATGTCATTGGCAAATCTAAACCAGGGTTGTCAAACTCCGCCCCCATGTTGGACTTCAACTTGCAAAAGTATATGAATACAATAGATACACAGAGAATTCTTGCTATGGTAGTCCAAAACCACTTGCGTAGCCAGAGTTTGACAAGCCTACTCTAACAGTCACATTTCATTGTGTGATAAATGCCTTTCAGTTGTACCTCTTCCTTGAATGTTCGACTTAAAAAAAATAAAATTATAAAAATCTGTATGTTTTCCTATCCTTCACGTCATCAGACTTCTATTTAAAACTTTACTTGTTTTAGTGCACATTTTTAGATGTCGGTGTCAGCATACATCATTGTCTTAGATCCCAAGATGAATGCATGCAATGGTATTTCATTTCTATAATAGACTAAATCCATGGTAAATCTTGATCACCTAATGTGGTAATAGAAATATTACGCCTAAAACAATCTGTACACCTTTGAAATCATAGTTGTAATTTGAAATGATGTCATTTGGGCAGGACTCGTATAGGAAAATAAGTCTATTTTAAAGAGACAGTTAACTCTACTACAGAGAAAACAAATAGTAAAAAGAGAAGAGCCTTTAACTCTTTGAGTGCCACCCCGTAACTCCACTCAAAACATTTTTAAAACATTGGATGCATAGTTGCAACATTAACTTTGGGTACCAAAGCAATTCTGTCTATGTATTGTACAGCATACATACAAATTAAAATGGTATAAATTTAATTACTATACAATAAGTACAGCTACTAAAGTATTTGTACTATACTTATCATTTTAGAGTGCTTCAGAGTCTTAACAGAGTCCATTTACTAAACTCAAGATTGCTCAGAATTCCCCTCTCCCCAGAGATGCAGTTGTGACAGAAAATGTTTGTTTTTCTGCAGGGCAGGGTGTATTTGATTTAAATTACTAGTCAGTAAGATTAGATTTAAATCATTATTTTTAAACGTAAAGACTCGGTCTTGCTCACTGCTATAATTTTAATATTTGCAACTAGATAAAGATTTCATATTTAGAATAATAACTTTTCAGAGTAGTAATAAGAGATTTCGTTATATACCATTAGAAATGCATAGTAATTATGAAATCATTGCAATGTGAACCATATCTCATTTAATAGGTTGATCACTTATATATTTGGAGACCAATTCCAATTGTTTTAACTAAAATAACATTATATAATAACATATTCTTGAATTTGCTTAAAAACCAATGTTTGTTAACTGAAGTGGTCAAAATAGATTTAAATAACTTAACCTGTAATGATTTGCCATCTTACTTGGGTACCCCAGCTCCCCAGGCTCCAGGTCTTCTTTGATTCTCATTCAATTTCTTCAGAATACAAATGTCAATACCGCTGGTCATGCATTGGTTTAAAGGACCACTATAGGCAGCCAGACCACTTCAGCTTAATAAAGTGGTCTGGGTGCCAGGTCCATCTAGGATTAACCCTGCCTGCTGTAAACAGCAGTTTCAGTGAAATTGCTATGTTTACAAATGGATTAGTCCAGCCTCTAGTGCAGGGCTGTCCAACCTTCGGCCCCCCAGATGTTGCTGAACTACAACTCCCATGATTCTTTCAATTAAAAAGAGAGCCAGGGAATCATGGGAGTTGTAGTTCAGCAACATCTGGAGGGCGGCAGGTTGGACAGCCCTGCTCTAGTGTCTCTCACTGTGATTTTCACAGTGAAAAGACGCCAGCGCCCATAGGAAAGCATTGAGAACGCTTTCCTATGGACTGGCTGAATGGCGCGCGGCTCTTGCCGCTCATTCAGCCGATGACGTTGGTAGGAGGAGGAGAGTCCCCAGTGCCGAGGGAGCCCGGCGCTGGAGAAAGGTAAGTGTTTAACTCCTTCCTCCTCCTTCAGTCGGCGGGAGTGGGACCCTGAGTTTGTTTTCCTAGCACTATAGTGGTCCTTTAAAGCATCAGCTGAGCGCAAATGAATATGCACAGAAGTTACATTAGCCAGCCTGAAACTACTGGCGTACTAATAACACAGCTTTAGGAAGTTACACCTCTGACAGTAATATAAAATATCTCCATATGTGCAGGAAAGCATTGAAAAGCTGCACATACAGACTGCGAGCACCATTACCACTTAAAATCACAGATTTTTGTATGTTTATTTTATAACCTTTTTGCTGTGAAATGGTGCATGTTATCTGGGACTAGTGGAATTAATTTACTAAAAATGTAAATAAAGCATGTAAATACAACCTCATGCTGTATAACTAATCCATATTTCATGCTGAATAATCTTTGGACTATAAGGTAGCATAAATACAAGGCTAGCTTTAAATATAATTTTCATTCAAATGCATTTTATTTAAAAAAAAAAAATATATATATATATATATATATATAAAATAAAAAATTGGGGGAAAAAAATCAGATTAATTTAAAAGTAATATAGGATTATTGTTTATTCTTACCTTAAAACATAAAAATTTTTCAACACCGTGCTGCAGGGGAAAAGCAATTTACTGGAATTCCAACCTAGTAAAGATATACAGAGACAGGGACTACTTTGTCTCTGTATTTCACCTCTGCCTGACTTTCTTAGACTCTAGAATGAGTCTAAGTTTCAATACTGACAGCTGCAGGGAATGGGCTGTGTCTATGGTGGATCTCGCTGTCTCACGGGATCCTACATAGACCTCAGTGCTGTTTCTTTCGCGCATGCAGTGATGTTGGTTCAGCGCCAAAAGCTGAAGAGGATCAAGCCGAGAAAGATGGCAGTTTAGATAAGTAAAACTCAACTTAACTTCCCCCTCTGGCCACCGGACCCTCAGCAGTGATGTCATAGTTGGGGGTCTTTGCATATTCCCCAGGTGGTGACAGTGCTGCTTTAAGGCTAAATTTGTCTCTCTATAAACATTAATAGGAAAGAAGTTAACCACAAAACACATAAATTCCTTTAAACCCCTTTATTCAAGCAAGATCTGCTACTACTACCACTAGACTTTTGAAAAAAAAATGTGTTTTGCCCAGTTTGTCTGAATCAAATTTCTTCTAATCAACACCAGAACAAATCGATCTCTGTATTTTTGCCTGTGGAGTCTTATTCAGTAAACAAGACTTAACAGGTAAATCTGGGACGAAATTCTATTTAAATAGTATTGATAGCTTCCTTTAATAACCACTTTAACCGTCTGAAGAACATTCAATGTACTTTATGCACACACTCTTATCCAGTTTAGTTGTACTCCTATTATTGATGTCAAAAGGATCAAGGGCAATGTTGACCCAGCCGGGAATGGAACCCACGACTCAGAGGTTTGAACATGTACTTCTGTTGGCACCTTAACTAATTGAGCTATTCCTGGCTGCAAATCAAATCCTTTCTTGTGGAGCTTAAACTCTGTGCTTGGTGATCAGTGCTCCAAGAGGTCTCTTTAATCACCTTAGAAATGCTTGTACATTATAAATAGATCAATCAATTTTTTTTAGCTTTTATTCCAGTATAAACAAACCAACTTGATCTTTGACAAAACTTATCAAATATAGCAAGACACCTTCAATTGTTTGCCATTGTTCTGTGAGCGACATTAAATTCATGTTGCATCAGTCATTCAACTGCAAAAAAGTGGATACTCCATCCAGCTTTTGAAATGTTTTGTATGTAGAAAAGCTTTTTTATTTTATTTATTTTACAAATCTTTCAAAACAGATTTCACCATCTTTTTGGGGTCATAGACATAGTAGTGGAGTAAGTGAATTTTTTTTTTTTTTCACGTGAACTGTCCATGCACGTAAAGTAGGCTGCCAAAAAACGATTTTGCACACCAGCTCGTTGGTTGAAAATTATACCTCTGCGCAGAATTTTAACCACCCTGAAAGAAGAGTTTTACCACTAATTAGTGACCTGCTTGTGTTGGTTGTATAACTCTGATGGAATTGGCATGGATCTAGTCTGGTAAAGATTCCAGTAAATCAAAGTATGCTTACATCTAGATATATTTAGAAAGTGCCAGCGAGTTATGTGGTGACTGATGCAGTACATTAGGTATAATGGACTTTGTTACTTGGCTAAGATAAACTGCCCCTTAGGTAGAGAAGGAACAGTAACTGTACAAACTGGAGACTATGAATTATTTTCTACTATAAGCCTGAGGTGGGATGAAAAGGCTATTTTCCTGCAATTTGCAAAGCGGACTGGCAGATTTAGGAAATAAAGCGGTATTGAACAATTATGAGCTTTGTTCATCAAGCTAGGAATTGTGAAGAATTTATAACAAATTGCAATAGGTAGAAAAAATAATAGTATATATATATATATATATATATATATATATATATATATATATATATAAAAATTCTGCCCCCACCCCCATTCTACTGTTTTAAATGAAAATGTACTTGATCCCTCTTCATAATAACCTGTTATGTGAATACACCCGAATTGTGACATAAGAGGCCTACCAAGTATCACACAGAAATCCTAAAACGTGCTGTCTAATAGTTATGGTGACTTTTTACCCACATGAGTGTTGCTCCCTACCTCTCCTCTTCCAGTCTGAGAGACGGAAAGCTCCTAGCAGGAGCTTCTTTTATCGTTCTTGACATGTACTGTTACACTTAACTCCAACAGAGAGCTTCTGTCAAACCGTTTAGAAATTAACTGCTTACATTGGAGTGAGGCACTAGGATACTCCTGGCACTACAGTGTGTTTAGAGTATTCCTTTAATTAGGAATAGTGCTATATTTAGAGAATCACCACTTGTACCAGAACTACGTTCTACAATTGTCACAATTTTGACTTTTAAATAAACCCTGTTTTGACACTGCAGCTGGGGATATTGCTTTACTGCCACCATGTTTTCTTTGAAGGGATAACCTTGACAAGCATGCTTTTAGTGGCTATCATACTGACAACCAATAGAGGCGCTACCCCAAAACAGTGGAGTAAGAGTAAAAGGTTTTGCAGTGCATGCGCTGTAGCTTCCCTATGCTTTCCTAAAGTATTGGATTGGCCTATCTTGATCATCTCAGCCAAGGAGGTGGGACCAGCTGCAGACACAGAGCATTGCGGCATGGGGTGCAAGGTAAGTTAATTCTTGAGGAGTTTACTTTTAACCCTTGCACAGAGGGTGACTATGGCACTGTAGCACTAGGTATACATATACATGTATTCCTAACCTTATAATGTTCTTTTAAGCGAATACTAATCTGAAATTTTGACTATTTAGCAAAAAAAAAATCCTTTTTATCTTTTCCTTTTTTTCTTTTTTTTTTATAGAAAAATTTATATCTGATGTAATGTCATAAAAACTTAGCATTTACAAAACAGCCTTTTTTTATTTTTAATATATCTGTACTCAAGAAGGAATTGTCTAGAACTGGTTACTTTGTGTGGTTTGAAATGGAATACCAACAAGTTCAGAATAATACTCTATTGATTGATGATTTTTTTTTCCTTTTATATCACACTTACATCATTGAAAATATAGATATTTCCAAATAAATATAACTTTTGCATTCACAGTAACAATGTGTATTTATTTTAAAAAGATTAAATTAATTTTCCATAAATCCAACTGGATCTGAAATCATGCTAACCTGCTTCAAAGGCTTTTTGTTTTGTGTGTGTTTATTTTAAACGCAGAGAGTAGTTTCTTCATATATATTAGGGCAACCATTATATCACATTGACCTGCAGAGGAATTCTCTGCATGAGATCACTTCAGAGCGTTTTGAACAATCCCCTATGTATTTATAACTTCCTGCTCAATATTCCACTCGAACAATAGTAGGAAAACAGGTTTGATTCCAAGTAACCTTTTTTAATTCAACGTTTTTAAAATCAACTTGACAGTAATTACTATGTGGGCCATGATTTCAGTGTTGTTGCACTTACACCATGCAATGTTGAACAAGTCAAAATTATAAAACCGGTAGGCCAGGTGTGGCCTTCTGAACATTGTATGGACCCGGCTGTCTGAAAGATGATGTGTTTTTGTTGTGTTGTATGATTGATTTAATAGGAACCAACCCTTCAGCAATTCTCAATTATGCACTGCCTTCCTCGTGAAAAGTTGGACAACCCTATTATATTATTCTCTCCTCGTGTGAACCTTAAAGGGAACCTCTGGACACCATAATAACTTTATCACATTTACATTATTATGGTGCCAGGAGGTCCCTGGTACTGGCTTACCTTTTAGGGGTTAATCCATTAACTATTTAACCCAAAAGTCTTGAATCCAGCAACGTTTAGGTCTACCCCTCTGAACCACAACAGCTTGCTGCCAGGAGTCTCCATGCGCCATCCCATGGTAATCTGTCAAACCGTTTTAACACTTACTTTGCCGTGTTGGATGCCTGTGGTCCTTCTGCCCAGAGTTGATTGTCTTGTCTTGGATAGTATTCATTAACTGTGTGTTGGCTCATGGATTTCAGCAACAAAGTACGGTACTGTCTAAACCTGGTATAATTTGGTTTGATAATACAGAAGTATAGCCTTACATTCTATCAGATAAACTAACATTAATTAAACTCATGATGGCATTTGCAGTCCATAATATGGCCACAAGTATTCTACAAAAATGTGCACAAAGGTACAGCTGATCTGTATATGGTATTATTGGACTTTTACCATTTATGCTTTCCTCCAGATAATGGCACTATACATTGTAACCACTATTTTTGCACATGTGCTGAGTTTGG